TTGGACTTGGGACCTGGGGGGTGGCGCTGCCATCTTGGCAGCTTCTCCCAGGCACTTCTGCAGCTTTCCCTGTCACAGGAGTTCCTTCAGGGAGTTTCTGCCAAAGCTAGATTTTCTGGTTTTACTTCCTAAAGTGGAAATAACTTAGGGGATTTCACCTTTTGCATCACTGCGGCTTGTCACCTTGGTTTCACTTACGCTCCTCTTTGTTGTCTAACTCTGGGATGAGTCCTGGGCAAGGGCGTGTTACAGATCCTGTCTTCCACAAAGCACTGCCGAGCCAGACAGCACATGGGATCTGAGCCCCGGAATCTGCCAGTTGGTGGACTTCAGAGACGGACACAGCTGTGCCTCTGGAAAAGCAGATCACCACCACAGATCACTGTTTAAAAGAGCCTTCAAACGCTTTTGCTTTTGCCCCCTCCTAAAAGGATTTAAGAGCGTGTACTTCCTTGCACATTTTTGAGGGGATATCCAACATTTTGTTGGCCGTTTAGTAAGTGCAGAGGATAGAATTTTTGTGCATATGCTTCTTGAAATGTTTTTGTTAGTTTTGGTTTTGGTTCTGGTTTTGGAGTTTCACAGTGTTGACTCATTTGTTTTATAAAAAAGGCCCTCCTTATAACCTTATCGGCCCAGCCAGACTTCATTTTCAAAGGAAATCAGGATGACCCCCCGTCAGATGTGATCTGGCTTCCTTTTTCTACTTTAAAAAAGTGTTAACAGTGTTCCCTCTGACAGCATCGCTTTGGAATGTTAATGATAATTCTAAGGCAGACAGGTGAGCAGGTAGTTAGACTGCTAGACACCAGACAGGGGCCATTGCCCTGGGGTCAGTCCTGGAGACCTCAGCATGGTTGTTACAAGACTTCCCCAGGCATCTCTAGCTGTCCTTCTGTGGGATGCTGCAGGCACATTCCCATCTTGGAGTCCATCATGCTAATTTGGAATGGGTTCCCACTGGATCATTCCATTAGAATCTGCTGTTTTCTCTGAACAGTATGGGGAATGCCGAGACTTCTTTCTAGCTAGTCTGTAGATTCTTGCAACAGTGGGTCACATCTGCAGGCGAGTAGTCTCACCTTAAGCAGCTTCTCTTGAAGTTTATAAGCCATAGATTCAGAAGGGCCACATGTACTTGCCATCCCTGTCTCAGACTCAAGAAAGCTAAGTGTGGCAGAATTGTATTTATGGTCATGGCATATAACCCAAAACGTGAAGATCTACTCAATATTTCTTATTTAGGTGATGACTGTGGTGTATGGAAAGAAATAAACTGTATTTGCCACAGGGAAGTCAGATATACAAGAAAAGTGTTTTAAAATAAAAATGTTAACAAAGGATGGAGTTGAGCAAATTTTCATTGATTTCTATCTTAGGTGACAGTCATAGGGAGATTTTAGATTAAATAAGCCGTAGGAGCTTCATCGTTCATTTATTTTCTTTCTGCTGATAACTTTGGTTTTAATTTTTCTCCGTTGATTTCTTATGGGGAAGTGAAATCATCAATTTCAGACATGCATTTTTTGTTTGTTTGTTTGTTTGTTTTGACAGACAGGTCTTTCCTAAAATAACCGTCCCCGTCTAAGGACCGCTTTGGCTGCATCCCACAATTTTGATATGTTCTACTTTCACATCATTCAAAATACTTGTTAATTTAGTTTACATTAGGCGATTTAGAATTGTGTTTTTAATTTCCAGACATATTTTCCATAAGTCTTTCTGTCATTTCTTTTTTTTTTTTTAAGATTTATTTATTTATGCATACAGAACTGGCGTACAGACCAAAGATGCAGGGGCGGTGAGAGGCTTCCCCAGAGACAGAGTGGGGAGCAGAACAGGCTTACTGACAAAGTGCACTGCCGAGGGGGTCAGTGGACTGGTCAGGAGAGGTCTGCCACGCCATGTGGTCACCTCTGGGGCAGGGATCGAACTCATGCTGAAGTGGTTTTAGCTTCTTAGTGCAGTGTATTAACCTGCTGCACCACCAGGGAGGGCCCTCTGTCATTGATTTCTAATTTGATTCCACATGGTCAAACAACACTTTACATTGAATACTTTTATATATTAGTGAGTTTTATTTTATGAACCAATAGATGTCCTCTGTGTACTTGAAAATCTAGAGTACTCGTGGGTGGGGTGTTTTATGAACATCAGATCAACATGGTAGCCTTGTTCAAGTCTTCTGTGCCCTGACTGATTTTATCTAATTGTGCGGTCAGTGATTTTGGAGAAGCCTGTTAAGGTCTCTGCTATAATTGTGAATTTATCCCCATTTCTTCATAGCCTTGTTGTTTTTGTTTGCTTTATGTACTTTGAAGTTCTGTAATTTAGAATGAAAGCACTTAGAGTCGTCATGCCCTTGATGAGTTGACTCCTTGATCATTATGAAATGACTGTGATATTCTTTGTTTCTGAAATCCACTTGTCTGGTATGAATACAGCTGCTCCAGGTTTTTGTGTGTGTGATTAATATGAACATAATATATTTTTTCTATCCTTTTGCTTTTAAAAGCTATCTGTATCTTTATACCTAAAATGTATTTCCTATTGGTGACCTATAGCTAGATTTTGACTGTTTTTTGTGATCCTGTCTGTCTCTGTATTATAATTAGGATGTTTACACCGCTTGCATTTACTCTGTAATCGATAAGGTTGGGCTTTATCAACATCTTCACTATTTTTTTCCTGTGTCACATCTGTTCTCTGTTCCCTTTTTAGTCTCTTCCTTTTGACTTAGTTGATGTTATTTATGACTCACTTTCTTTTGTTGACTTACAAGCTATAACTTTCTGTCTCTCTTTCTCTGTAGTGGCTGCTTTAGGAATTATACTATATGACTTTAATTTATTACAACCTCAAATAATAGCAGACCACTTCATATAGTTTCAGAGCCTTAGACGGTGTGCTCCCATTCTGCTGTGGTTCTCACATTTTTCTTGACGTGTGTTATAAACCCACTGCCAGAGCAGTCTTTAGCCTGGGTAGTTTCCCCCACTGTTGAGACACAGTCCTCTGAGTACCCCTTTGGAACCTCCATTTATTATGAGGTTTTCACCCTGGCTGGAACTATCCTTAGCATGGAGACCCCACTATCAGCAGTTCCTTCCCATACGCGTGACTTTAAGCCGTGTACAGCTCTCTCCCCTCTGGTACTCTGACCTGCAACCTCCAGGCTGTGCCTGGGTCACCAGCAGCCAGTCTGCACCCCAGCCTGGGAACCAGCCCGGAACCGGCAGTCACGGGCGCACCCGACTGTTATAAGGTCTCTCAGGAGTCGCTGATGTCCATTGTGGTGTAAGCCATTGTTTCCTATATTTTGTCTGGATGTTGAGTTGTTACAGGCAGGAAGGAGAGAATTGGTCCCTGTTACCTCATCTTGTCTATCAGCCACTGACTTCATAACTCAGTTCTGTGATTGGAGGAGTTCATGAAATGAAAAGCCAGGAACCAGTAAATAAGGGGGTTCTCTTGGGTTTGTAGTTGGGAACCCAAAATATCGCCACATCCTGCCTTCCACCAGCCTTTCAGTGCCTAAAAACAAGAATCATCTTCGTTAAGGAACCGCTTGTTTAGGACTGACGCTTGTTTAGGACTCTAGACTGACGCTTCTGTAGTATTAAAACTTCTTAAGTGCATGTACTCACATTTTCTAGACTGACTGCTGTACATACTGTGCATACTGTCTGTGTTAGTCTTTAACCAGTGTTGGAAAGTTCCAAAACCCCATCTTGCACAGGTTTTCAAAGCACAGAGCTAACACAGCTGGTCGAGATCGCACAGCTAATGAGGCTAGTCGGGCCGGGACCTTGGGGGCTGGGTCCGAGGTCAAACAGCACCACAGACAAGGTGGTTCGGTGTGTCCAGCGAGAAGCTCTCAGAGCAAGCCCCTGGGAGCCCGGCTGGGCTGTCTCCTTCTCTTCTTGTGTCTTTATCTGCTTGTGAGCCAGAAGAGGACATTCAGTGAAAAGAAGTTTCCCGTCGGCCCTTGCTTTGTTCATATACCAGGATGCTTTCGGGTCCCTCCACAGCTGCCAGGAGAACACGTGGACCTGCCTTGTTCTCCCTACCAGCAGCTTGATCCGTCCCGGTGTGGGGGTGCTCGCCGTTCATGCACCTCCCCCCTTTTTAAAGGGCTTTGTGTCCAGGCGTGGGCTGTTAGCCACAGGCTGCCAACGATGCCTGATAGGAGATCCGTAGTTCACACGCAACACACACACAAGTCTACCTGGAGGACGAACTGCCAGAGTGGACTGGCTTCGCCAGAGGGGTTGTGCTTTTGAAAAGTTGATTTTGAATCTGTGGACAGACTGCTCCTGAGAGATGTACTGATTCCCACTCTGCTGGTGGGCATGAGGGTGTGTGCCGCCCCGCACTCTCCTCAGCCAGCTATTCAACTTTCTTGATGCTCTGTTTTTAAAATAATGCTTAGGGGTGCCATGCGAGAGCCCTGGTGAGAGATGGCGGAGCCCACCACTGCCTCCCCGCCTGTAAGCCAAGAGCAGATGCCCACAGCTTAATGCCCTTGGGCTCATGGTCATTTACTCAGTTACAGCCACAGGCTGAATCTCCAGGGTTTGGGCCTTCGGAGGGCAGAGACCAACTGATGGCCGGGTCTCCGTCCCCAGGCAGCTGCAGACCCCAAGCAGCTCCCGGTGGAGAGGGAGACAACAGAGGAAAAGTTGCCATGACAAGTTGCTAAGATGTGGCATGGTACCCGGAGAGAACAGGATAAAAGGGCAAGGAAAATGTGGCTAGATGTCCCAGGAAATGTTGCCAGGGACTCGGTTGAGTTCCGCTGGGCGGGGCGAGGGGGCTGTGGGGCCCCCTCCAGGGGGATCCTGGGCAAGGAGGTGCCCCGGGCCGGCACTCCCTGCAGAACCCGGCTGCAGGCAGCGGCTCTGCAGCCTGTGATTGGAGGGCTGAGGCTGGTCGGGATAATGAACTCGGTAGTGTCGGCCGAGGTGATTGGCCGCGCCCTGCTGCAGTGAGAATGCAGCCTGGATGCTCGTCCTGCCGTGCGATCTGTAGTGGAGCGGGGCGCAGGGCGATTGATCGGGGCGGCAAGTTGCTTCTCCCTGGGCAAGGGCCGTTACACTAGCGCCCTTCCCTTGCTTGGAGACCAACAAACAGAAAAGCCGGGCACTGGATCGCCGTCCACCTGCAGAAGTGAGTTTTCACTGAGGAAGCGCCGGCCCCCCTCCTGCCAGCCAGCGGCGGGGCTCTCAGAGGGAGCCACTTCTCAGGCCAGGCACGCCAGCCCAGCGGTGCCCGCAAGTCTGGGCAGGCAGGCACCGGCCCCTGCGGGCAGAGCTGCCAGCCTCCACGCCGGGGCTGCCCCCGCAGCGCGACCCTCGGCGCCGGGCGCATCCTCCTCCAAAGTGAACAGTCACCGGCGGCGGGAGGAGCGTGATGCTGCAGCGGCTGTGGCATCTTCTGTCTAGCTTTCTCCCTAGGGCTGGGTGCCAAGGCCCCAGAGAGGGGAACGATAATGGAGTCGGAGGCACCCCACCTCCCGCTCAGGGAAACCAGATGTCCAGCTTTTTGGGGAAACAGGACGGAGGGGCTGAGACCACGGAAAAGAGGCCCACCATTTTGCTGGTAGTCGGACCCGCAGAGCAGTTTAAGGTAATGGCAGCCTCGGACGCCCTCCAAGTTTCGGGGCTGTTCTGGGGTCATTTTCCAGGAAGGAGCTGGAGTGTGGGGAGGAAAGGGGGACGCAAATCAATCATTTTGGGGTTGGGGAGAGGTGTCAACGAAGAAGCCCAGATCTCAGTCCAGAGGCTTCCGTTGGCCGCTGTAGAAGCTGCTCCCCACCATGACTGCTTTGGGGTGGCCTTTGGGGAAGGCCTGTGGGATGCAGTAGACTGGCCTTAGCGGTTGTCATTTCGCCGGAAAAGTCAGGGACAAGCAAAGTGTGTCTTACGTGCTGGGTGTCTGAACAAAGCAGGGCGCTAAGCTGGTGGCTGAGTGAACCTTCAGAGTTGAGCCTGGGGCGCAGTCAGTGTCCTGCATCCTGAAGGTCAGACCCGCCACACCTGGGGTTCAGGGAGGAAGGGAGTGAAGGGGGAGGTCAGAGCCAAGGCCGGTGGTTCCCCTCTGGGGTCTGTGGTCCGAGGGCCCTTCCGTCCGTCCGACGCTGAATGTGGGTTATCTTGTGCGCCCCATAATAGCCAAGGTAGCTAAGTGGTGGGAAACTGAGGTGCAGAAAGGTTATATAATCGGCCCAGAGTTGCCCGTGAAGGAGGGGTTGAGCTGTCACCCCTAATCTGTTGGGAACTTTAGCCTCTGCTGCCTACTTCCTGCTTTGCCCTAAGAAAGCCGTTTTAATGGGGCCAGTCTCTTTGGGGGGGGGGGTGACAGGAAAGTGTTATTTGGGGGCGGTTTCTCCCACCCATGGCAGGTGTGACCTTGTGTCCCTCCCGCATAGGTCTTATCTCCTTTCTCAGGATAAAAACCTACCAGAGAAAGGGAATAACTCCTGCCAGTGGGCCTGGTGCATCCTAGGCACCCCAAAATATTCTTTGAGGTCAGCTACTGCGTGCTGAGAGGGAGGGGTTTTGGGGGGAATGGCTGGGCAGTGAGTAAGTGGAAGCCTTGAGGGGAGCGCTCCGTCTGTGGGGCACCTCTGGCGGGTGGACAGACACCTCTGGGCAGACACCTCTGTCACCTGACGGAGATGCCTGTGAGAGGATGACACTTTCTGCCGCTGCCCACCTGAGATGAAAGGCGGTGTTGCTCTCTACTGCGAGGAACTTTCCCCCAGGCCTGCTTGCTTTCTGGCCCAGGGATTAAAGGATTGAGGATCCCTTTTAAATTCACCTGCTTTTGATTTTCATAAAGGACAGTGCTCCATTTCCCAGACACACACCCCCCTCCAGCCCTCCCCCAGCGGTGGCTGGCGTCCGGACTTGCTGTCCTGAACACTTTGTTCGGTCCTTCTGCAGAATCTGGAGCAGGGGGGACTGAGCGCAAGACCCACACCGTTCCTTGGCTCTGTTCCCCTAAGGAGAGCCGGAGGGGGCCTCTCGGGGAGATCCGTGGCCTGTTTGACTCAAAGTAAGGAAGAAAGTGTGAGCCCTGAGGGCATCTAAACCTGACTTGGTCAGGTCGCAGTGTGCGATCTTTCTAGCAAGTACTCCTGAGGGTGTTTACTCCTGAGGGTGTTTGGGGCCCGCGATCCCTGGCCAGGGCCCAGCCTCGCCATGTCCGTAGAAGCCTCCTGGAGAAGTGCGCTTCGGTGCCCAGGCGCCCAAGTGTGCCAGCCATGCTCGTTGTTCCGTTCTCCCTGCCCCGGGTAAAGCGGCTGCTAGCCAGTCAGGTTCCTGCAAGTCTTTATTCTGGGAACCTCGGGTTCTCCCTTTATCTCTGTCTGAACAGTCTGCAGTTGAAGAAAGCCGGTACTCCGAGTGGGAGGCGGGAGGCGGGAGGTGCCCTCAGCGGATTGAAGCTTGCAAATCCTGAGGGGCGTCTTCGCCGCGCAGCTCCGAGAACCTTGCGCATTGTGTGTCTAATTGCCAAGGGTAGGCAGGTTCCAGGGGACACCGGCCGCCGCGCTGCCATGGCAACCCCGCCGTCACGCAGCCAATGCGGTGCCCGCGCCGGCGGTGGGCGGGGCGCGGGCCTGCGGGTGCTGGCGGGGCGCCCTCGCGTAGTAGCATTTCTGCGCCTGAGTCACGGCGGAGGAGGGTGATGCGGGGTGACCCGCTGCCGGCGCCCCAAGGTTCTCCGCCCGCCTTTGTCCTACTCCGGCGCTGGGCACGCACAGGAAGCACCTGTTTTTTGGCATGACGCAGAGTGGTGGGACCAGGGAGGCTTGGGGAGGCGCCCTCCTTTGGAGGGTCGGGGTGCTCCTACGAGACAGACGGGTGAAATCGATAGCAGCCAATTCTGGGGAATCTAGAGTCACCGCCGTGGTGCCATGGTCTCCGGGTTGGCGCAGGAGTGGACGGCAGAAGAAAGGAAGCGGTGACCTCGGTCACACAGAGTAAGCCAAGGAAACCAGAAAGACCAGGAGGTGGCAGGAGGGGGGTCGGCAGGTTACCCGAAGAGCCCAGTGGGAGGCTGGGAGGCAGCTAGGGGCCTTAGTCTCACCTGAGGCCGGGCCTGGACCCCTGCTGCCGGTGTGAACCGGGCTTGTAAGTCTCAGCTGCAGGCCCTCGTGGGAAGCTGAGCTGTGAGTTCCTTTTGGCAGTGTCAGGGTGGGTTCTGTTTAAGTGGTGGCTGTAACCTGAGCGCGGCCCTGACTGAGGCCAGCCCCTCCCCCAGCAAGCTCTGAATAACCTCAGAGCCTCCGCCCTGTATCCTCATTTCAAAGATTAGGAATGACCCTGAACTCCTCTGGGGCCTGTGGCTAGAGTTGGCTCGCTTGGGGAGAATTCCAAGTTTTCTGTGTAAAAATGGAGTTAAGAATTAACTGGGAAGTTCAGGAGGGTGGGCGGTTTACGTAATATGCAAACTTGCCAAGTCAGGTTTATCTAACAAGACAGTTAGTTGGACTCAATCACAGTTGCCAAATAAAAATGTGAAAATCTTTTTCAGCATCGCCATTAAGACTGTAAAATAACATCCTGACATGCATCTGGTGACAAGAACTTCCTGACCCCAGGACACCATCGCTCTGCAGAGTGATGAGCTTACAGACAAGCTGGCGGTCCCAGTCTATTCCACTTGACTTTACCTAGACAAAATGATGGGTCAAAAAAATCTGTTTTGCTTTAGTATTGTTTTCAAAACACATCATAAAATTCAGTGATACAAAATTTTAAAAAAATGACTTACTAAAGTCATTTTTAAACACATGGTTTATTAGGAAATGCACACCTCCAGTTGAACTTACTGTTTAACAGTTCAGTTGTTCAATTTATAAATGGGGACCCCCCTTTTAAAAAGGGCTACAGCACCCCAGTGACTACCTGCAGACACCAGGGGAAAGAAAACCACGTTTTCAGGTGTGTTTCTGTTGGTTTCTTGGGGCCACGACCCATCCTCTCCTACAGGAGCTGTGGGCTTCCAGCACCTTCTGTAATCAAGGCAAGGGCCCACTGCAGGCAAGGAGGCAGCAGTTTCTAAACAGTAGCCTCCTGCCTTCAAAGACCTTGTGAGCAGAGATAAGATGTATGTAAAAATAGCCCCAAGGTGGAACATTCTAGATGAGGCAGTTTTAGAGACAGCTGAGTGCCTTGGATTTAAGTGAAGCTGAGCAGGAATTTGGCTGGATGATCCCGGCTTGCTTCTTGGTAACTTACCCAGCCCACTCTGTAACCCCAGCCGTCTCATCGGGCTCCTGGTCACTTCTCCTCGGAGGACAAGATGCCATCTTAAGTTACTTAAAATTGGCTTCGTCGGTGGTATATATGTAACTTTTTGTTTTAATTTTTTTGAGAGTTCCTAACAAAAGCTGCCGAGTGCGTTGAGAAATTCCGTTTACATTCGTGGGTCCCCAGATGATACCCATCCATTTTTATCCGCCCTGCCGCTGTGGTTGGTCTATATTAGGAAGTTGTGCGCTGTGAGGAGCACGACAAATCGCTTCCTTTTTGGTCTCTGTGACGCAGTCACATCCCCCGCAGCACGAATCCGGGACACTTCCGTGGGGAAGGCCTGAGGTGGGGCTGGCCTGGCAGCTGGAGAGGGGTACCCACACAGCTCCCCCCTCCCCCCAGCCCTGGGACAGGGTTCCCCGATCAGCTCACCCTGGCCCACACAGATGATCCTCACCTGATAGCACTTTCCTGCTGACAGGTTCATTCAGTGTGAATGTGAGGCTGCTGGCCATGCTCGCTGGCTCAAGCGTGGCCACCTGACTCAGGAGCTGAATATTTCCACTTGCTACATTTTAGTTACTGACAGCACAGTCCTAGGCCAGAGGCTGACCAGACTGAGCGCCCTGTGTGTGCTCTGCACATGGACCTAAAGACCAGGCCGGTGGGTGCTACCAAGGCCTTGGCTGACCCCAGAATGGTGCACTGCTGGGGGAGGGGGGTCCCTCAGCACAGCTACCATTTGTCTAGAGTATCTGTCCACCCCCCTCTTACCGCTCCACAGCACTTGGGGGCCTCAGGGGGAGCCTGCAAGGGAACACATTGGTGCTGAAGTGCTCATTGCACAGAGGGCCCAGGAAAAGCTCACCCCAAGTGGCACCTGGAGGTCACGTGGCCAAGGCAGCCAGAGTCGGGGCTCAGCCCCCCTGCCGATGAGCAAGCCCACAGTAGGGGCGCCCCGAGGTGTCTAGGCCCTGTCTCAGCCACCACACCCCTCAGCTGCCCAGTTTCCGGAGCATGGATTTGATCTCCCTCTGCTGACTTTTCTCTCGGGAATGATTTACCAAGGGGAGAAAGCCTTTGTATTGTGTGACGCATTTGAGGCTGTTGTAGAAAAACAGACTGGAGACCGGTTGCTCGTTGGCAGCGCTGGCAGCCCGGGGTGCAGGCAGCCTGCCTCCCGAGAGTTAACCGCCCCCAGCGCTGACGTCAGGCCTGATCTTTCCTCGCTCCTGGAGCAACCTGCCCCGCCTCCCCCTGCCCGGTCTGAGCCTATTGGCTGTCGGCAGCTCGGCCAGTGGGCGGGTTTTTTCAATGAAGTAAAAGGGCCGCCGGCACCGTGACAGCCGGCCCACAGACCTCGCTGGAGTTGGCGGAGGGCAGGGCAGTGCTCCCACTGACCGACCGGCTCCCCAGCATGCTCTGCCTCTGCCTGTACGTGCCCATCGGGGAGGCCCAGACCGAGTTCCAGTATTTCGAGTCCAAGGGGCTTCCCGCCGAGCTGAAGTCCATCTTCAAACTCAGCGTGCTCATCCCCTCCCAGGAGTTCTCCACCTACCTCCAGTGGAAGCAGGTCGGTGGCAGGGCAGGCATGTGGGGAATGTCCCCCCCCCAGCCGCCCCCAGGGGGAAGGAATGCCTGACATGTGGGCTTTTCCCGTCATGTGGCCATGACCGGGAGAGGCCCTCCTAGGGATGACTGGCTTTCACGTGACTTCCAGGGAAGGCTGGAATTCCCGGGAAAGCACTCAAGGGAGCTGGAGTTCTTGCTGGGGTGGGGGTGGGCCGGGTTCTGAGAAAGACTTGGGAGGGAAGAATGGGCATGGGCTGAGATGCCGCTGCCAGGGGGCTGTTTCTGGAGATGGGAGTGGGATACCCCTGAGAGGGCAGGCGGAAGCTGGCCCTGAGGTGAGCGAGCAGGGAGGCAGCAGAAATTTACTGTTCCGAAGAGGGAGAAGCACCTTTAGAGTGTGGAAGTTGCTTGCCTCCTCAAAGGGCACCCCAGCTTCTGTGTTAAGCAGAGCCCTGCTGTCCCCTAGCTCCTGATGCCATGCAGGGGCTGTGAGTTCTAAGATTGCAGCAAGAATTTTAAGACTACTTTGTAATCTGCCCTGAGCATGTTCTGGGGTGTCTGTGTCACGGGGCACCCAGCCTTCAAGGCGCACGGATGGCGTTGGTGGCAGAGAGCAGATTCCGAGCCTTTCCCTCCTTCCGAGCCAGCTAGCAGGTACCCCTTCTGACGCCTACGAGGCGTATCTTCCCGTGTCTGTGGGGAGCGCGCTACCCCGCAGGTAACACAGGGCCTGTGCCAGTCACACTGTCACTGTGTTCTGTGGGTCTCGTTAGGTGGCACAATACTTGTGCACCCCCATACCTGGGCAGCAATCACAGAAAGCCTTCAGGCCGCTCAGAAAGACTGCAGTGGTGATCCTGGGGAGTGCCGGCCAGCTCGCGTCCGTCCAGACCCGTGCTCTTGGTTTGTGGATAGTGGCCGTAGTCCTCACTGAGAGATCTAGAATTGGGCAACATTTTCCTTGGGAGGTTCTCAGTCCTGGTTTTGGGGTGTTGGTTGGAGTGACTCATGTGTGTCCCCCACCTTGAGATTGGCCCTTAGGGCGGCGGCAGCATCTCCAGGGAGGTAGCTCTGGAGTCCAGCCAGTCTGATTTGAATCCTGCCCACCACTTCCCAAGCTGTGTGACTGCGACTGAAATGCTCAACGTCTCTGAGCTTGTTTCCTTGGCTATAAACGGGGGGCTTGGGGGTGGGCAGGAATAATAGTACTTACCTCTTAGAGCCATTAGAGAGAATTCAGCAGGTTGCTGGACCCCAAGCCTTTAGTTCTTTTGTGGGAACCCCCACAATTGTTCAGCATCTAAACCCGTCACAGCTGCTGAACAGTTTACCTCGGAGGGCAGGTGAACAATTCAGCACCTCAGGGCCAAGGAACAGCATCTCTTAAAGCCTTCCTGGGCCACTAAACTACTGGGGGTCTGCCGGGCCTGGGTGCCTGGTGCGCTCTGGGGAGTCTCATCGACTCCCCCGAGAGAAGACTGGCGCTCCCCCAAGCACGTGCCCAGGAAGAGTTCTCCGGGCTCTCACCTTTCCCGGCCTTCAGGCTTCCCCTGACCGTGGTCCTGCCAAGCAGGCGCTGGCCGGGCTGCCTGCGCCCCACCCCCTCGCCCTGGCTGCCCGATCACTCTTGGGCCGCTGCCACTTGGAGGGGTGAAAATCGAGCTGCAAAGCTCCCGGTGGCCCTGGAGCTCCCGCCACCCCCACAGGTGAGCAGGGAGCCTGAGAGGTTGAGGTCTGGCGCCAAGGACTGCGCCCCAGGGGTGCTGGCCCAGCCACTGTGGCCTCCGTCACAAGGCCACCTCCAGGGGCTCCTTGCTGCTGCTCATGAGGGCAGCAAGGGGTGCTGGCCAGTCCTTGGGCGACTGAGGCAAACTGTTGTGATGGCTTTGGGGTCAGAGCCAGAGAAGCATCTTGGGGCGCTGGGGGCACGTCTGTTCACAGGTTAGCACGTGAGCTGGGGGCTGGAGCTAAAGTAAGCGAAACCTCGCTTTTGTTTTCTAGAAAATTGTACAAGCTGGCGATAAGGACCTGGACGGGCAGCTCGACTTTGAGGAGTTTGTCCATTATCTCCAGGATCACGAGAAGAAACTGAGGCTGGTGTTTAAGAGTTTGGACAAGAAGAACGATGGTGTGCACCCTCTCCGGGAGGGTGGTGGGTGGCGGGCGGTGGGTCCTGGGCCTCTCGTGGCCAGGCTCACGGCCTCTGACCTTGTCCCATAGGACGGATCGACGCTCAGGAGATCATGCAGTCCCTGCGGGACCTGGGCGTCAAGATTTCAGAGCAGCAGGCAGAAAAAATCCTTAAGAGGTAAGCACTTGGCCGGCCCTGTGCGTGGCTCAACAAAAGCGTGACGAAGAAAGCATGTCTGGAGCTTGACCCCGCGCGCCACTCACCGTCCTGACCCGTTTCTCAGAACTTTGGCTTCTGGTGGTGGTAGAGGGTAAATCAGTAACCCTGTTCCCAGCTTCGGGTCAGCTCTCCCTCGGCAGACCAGAGGGCCTGGAGCTCTGCCCTTCCCCAGTGATCCTGAAGGGGAAAGATCACTGGGGGGTCTCAAGTGGGCGGAAGGCAAGCAAGGGACACTGCACCCGGCTGGTTGTGAGGGGTGGGGCTGAAGAGTGTCCCCGAAGGTGGGTTCTCCCCCGGGAGCTGTAGCCTTCTCTTCACGCCGCAGGCAGCTGTGTGGCCCCAGGGGCAGCTCAGCAGAGCGGTCCTGGGACAGGGGGCTGTTACCGGGTGCAGCAGTCCCACCAGTGGCCATGGGAGCGACTTGCCCTCCTGGCCAGGCCTTTCCAGATCCTCAGCTCCAGGCCAGAGCGGGCTGCCCCAGGACGGCCGCCCCGCCGTGTGCCCGCCCGTGCCGCTGCGCCGCATGCTTTCCGCGCTGACTCCTGCTCGGGCACTTACTTGTGTTGTTTCTCCTCTCTCCTCTGCATCCTCCTTTGTCTGTCTGTCAGAATATGGACGGGCCACTTCTGGGGCCCTGTCACCTAGTAAGTATCCCTGTCACCCGGTGACTGCCTGCCTCCGAGTCTGCCTGGTCAGAACGCGTTTCTTGCAGACCGCTGTAGCCTCGCGTGTGTGCAAAGCAGGGTGGGGAGCCCGCCTGCCTCCCCCCCGGGGGCAGGGCACTGGCTGTGGGTCCTCCGTGGCCACAGCGCTGCCTGACGGGGGTTGGCGCGGGACCAACGCGGGCACCTGTGTCTCCGCAGCATGGATAAGAACGGCACGATGACCATCGACTGGAACGAGTGGAGAGACTACCACCTGCTGCACCCCGTGGAGAACATCCCCGAGATCATCCTGTACTGGAAGCATTCCACGGTCAGTCCGGGCCCGGGCCCTTGCGCCTCCCTCGTCCGCGCGTGGGGCCGGCGTTCCACCTGCCTCGCCAGCAGCGGGATGTCCCCTTAGCTGCCAGCCCCGGAGGCCTCCCCAGGCGCCCCCTTCCCACGAGGCCAAGGGCCTCTGCAGAGACCTGCCTCCCTTGTCTCTGCTGCTGCCCGCGCTTCAGCGGCCACCTTGGGTCGCACCCGGCCCGCCCTGCTTGTTCTCCCTCCCGGGGCGGGGAGCAGCAGCTCAGAGAGCAAACAGGAGGGCGCAGGGCTCGCCCCCACCGCCCCGTCTCTGACGAGAGACTGCATGGCCTTCTGCATGCTGCTCTCCCCTGCCAGAAGCGCAGGCTTGCGCCCTCAGAGGTAGTGGCCACACTGGGGCGTGACCCTACAGCTGCAGTCTTCCCCAGCCTGGGCTCTTCCACTTAGGAGGGGCCAGAAGAACACCCCCCTCTGTCCCCCGCTCTGTGCCAGGGACCCGTGTCAGGGTGTGAGCAGGCTGGCCGGTGGCTCTGGGCCCCGCCTTGGGGTCAGCGCAGAGCTGGCCCCCAGGAGAGGGTGTGACGCAGGCATCGCAACCCGCCCGTGTTTGCTGAGGCCTTACATGGTGTCCTGCCAGCGGGGTCTGGTGACACACGAGGCTTCGGAGGCTTTTCACCCCGGCTGATCCTTAGCACAGCCGGCCGGCCGGCCCTCGGCAAAGTGCCCTGTAAGCAGTTCTCGCGGGAGGCGGCTGCGTGCCCCTGGCCGGCTGTCCTCGGAGCCCAGTCTGGCCTCGCCCAGCCCGCCACAGGGTCAGAGCCCAGCCCCCTTCCCCTCCCTGTCCCGCCAGAGTCCTCGGTCTCCTCACCCTCGGTCCCTGGGGACAGACCACACTAGACAGAGGCTCGCGGTGGCAACTTTATTTTGTCTTGGTGGGTTTTCCTCATAGATCTTCGATGTGGGGGAGAATCTGACCGTCCCTGATGAGTTCACAGTGGAGGAGAGGCAGACGGGGATGTGGTGGAGACACCTGGTGGCCGGAGGCGGGGCAGGGGCCGTGTCAAGGACCTGCACCGCCCCCCTGGACAGACTCAAGGTGCTGATGCAGGTGAGCAGCCAGCCCCGCCCCCGGCCCGTGCGTTGCCCGTGTCTGGGGCCTGTCCTTTTCTGACCCCACAGGTTAGGTTGGAATTGCTGCTCAGACCAGGGTGACTAGGGCCAGGCAGGCCTCAGTGACCTTTTACAGAAAGCTGATCTCAGCTGTGAGTGACCCAGGCTCATAAGCCTGGGCTTCTGTGAAGGGCCAGTGTGGACGGGTGAGGCTGTGAAGCCCGAGAGACCTGGGTGTGGCAGGAACAGTTGCCTTCACTGGTCTTGGTGGGGCTTTGAGGTCAGGTAGGTCCTCACCTGGCCCAGTCACCATTACCTGGGCCCTGTGCCAGCCAGACTCCGTGTCCACATAGCAGAGATAAGCTAGACTGATGTCAGGGCCAGTCTTGCAAAATCAGCTGGTGCGAGGACAGCACCCCAGGCTCCGGCGGCGTCCTGCGCAGTGTCCAGTCACCCCCTTCCTTCCTGGTCGGGATTCTGCCTATGTACCAGGCAGGGACGCCCAGTGGCTGACAGATCCCACCCTCCTGGCTATGTGGCCATGGGTGTGAAATCCTGTCCCCCAGCACCCCTCTTCACCCACCCCCAACCACCGCACCTCTGGAACTCAGTTCCCAGCTGCTGTCGAGGCTGACGGGCGCAGGGTGGCGGGGGTGGGGCCGGCTGGGGTTTGGAGGTGGCCGAGCTGCCAGGGGGCCTGTGAAGCGCCAGGAGTCACATTTCCCGCCACGCGCAGCTCGGCCTTCTGTTCAGGGAAGCAGCACCCGTGGAGGCGCTGGCCCGTCCAGGGGGGACCTAGCGCAGCCAGTGCTGGGCCTCAGGATTCCAGGAGGGACGGCCCCTGCCGACCATCTGGCCCGTGAGGCTCTGACCGCTCGCCCCTCCCCCTCAGGTCCACGCCTCCCGCAGCAACAACATGTGTATCGTGGGCGGCTTCACCCAGATGATCCGCGAGGGCGGCGCCAAATCACTCTGGCGGGGCAACGGCATCAACGTCCTCAAAATTGCCCCCGAGTCCGCCATCAAATTCATGGCCTACGAGCAGGTAAGGTCCCTGCCCTGTCGGCATCCCAGAATCTGGCGCCAATCGAGGGACAGGGCGAGGCGGGAGGCTCACTACCCCGCCGCCAGTGCCCTGTGGCCGAGTCCCCTCTGCTCTGGGCCCCACAGGGCGTGCCGGGGACACCAGGTCTCTGCTGTCCTGCAGGCTCGGTGGGCAGGGACAAGGCGGCACGTGGCCTGGGTCTACCAGCTTGTGTGTCCCCCATTCCAGATCAAGCGTCTTGTTGGGAGTGACCAGGAGACGCTGCGGATCCACGAGAGGCTCGTGGCAGGCTCCTTGGCGGGGGCCATCGCCCAGAGCAGCATCTACCCCATGGAGGTGAGCAGCCTCGGCCGGGCAGCCGGTGGGGTGGGCGAGGAGGGGCCGGGCTCACGCTCCCTCTCACATCGGGCCCTGCAGGTTCTGAAGACCCGGATGGCTTTGCGGAAGACAGGCCAGTACTCGGGCATGCTGGACTGTGCCAAGAAGATCCTGGCCAGAGAAGGGGTGACTGCCTTCTACAAAGGCTACGTCCCCAACATGCTGGGCATCATCCCCTATGCTGGGATAGACCTCGCTGTCTATGAGGTGAGGCCCCTGGGACAGTGGGAGCAATCCGGAAGCCCCTCCTAGTCATCCCGCTGGCTCCGATAGGTCGGCGTAAGGGTGGGTTGGGGTGGCCCGAACGAGGCCCAGATGGATCCCCTGGGAGGTTCTCCCGTCACTTCCTGCTCCTGGCAGCCCCCAGTTCCGGACCCTTGGGCTGGGTCAGCAGATACCCAGAGCACAGTGCCGAGGTGGGGGGAGGGAGCTCCCTGTTCTTTCTGGGAGTCCCAGGATACGCAGGCCCGGCTGCTAGGCTGAGTGAATGAAGCTGTAGTGCCTCAGGGCTCCCACGTGGGGCAAAAATGCCTTCAGTGTGGATCCGGTCACTGCCTGGCCACGCAGCTTCATCCTGGGGCTCAGCCACCCACCCACCCCCTTCCAGACGCTCAAGAACGCCTGGCTGCAGCGCTACGCAGTCAACAGCGCCGACCCGGGCGTGTTTGTGCTTCTGGCCTGTGGCACCATGTCCAGCACCTGTGGCCAGCTGGCCAGCTACCCTCTGGCCCTGGTTAGGACCCGGATGCAGGCGCAAGGTAAGGCTGGCCCTAGGCCAGTCCCAGGGGCCGTCCCCCAGGGCAGGTTGGAAACAAGGGAGAAGCTGGCGAAAGGCCTCTGACAGGCGGCCCTCTCCCTGCAGCCTCCATCGAGGGCGCCCCAGAGGTGACCATGAGCAGCCTCTTCAAGCAGATCCTGCGGACCGAGGGGGCCTTTGGCCTGTACCGGGGCCTGGCCCCCAACTTCATGAAGGTGATCCCAGCCGTGAGCATCAGCTATGTGGTGTACGAGAACCTGAAGATCACGCTGGGCGTGCAGTCGCGGTGACGGGAGGGGCCGTGCCCCGTGGACTCGCTGACCCCGGGCGTAGCCCGGGGTATGTAGCCATCTCATTCTGTGAATGTGCCGACACTAAGCCTAACAGAAGCCCGGCAGAGAGGCCTGGGCCCGCTGCGGAGGGGAGGCAGCCACCGGTGTGTCCTGCTGGCCCTCCACCCCTCGTGGCTACTCCAGGGGAGGCTGAGGGGACTCGGGGGCCAGGGCTCCGCAGGCCTGGGCTCTTCCCGGGGCGGGGTGCTGCCCGCAGAGCCCGCCGGCTGGCAGGGCTGAGGCCAGCTTCTGCGATCTTCCATCCGCATCGGCTGCAGACCCCACCCCAGCCTGTGAGCGCCTCCCTGCCCACCCGGCTTCCTTCCTGGCTGCCGTTTTAATCTGGTGGGGAGGGGACAGACTGGCCTCCCGTGCTCCTGCGGGCTCCACTCGCCTCGAGCCACAGGGAAAGGTGGCTCCGCCCGACCTTACCACCCCGACTTCCCACCCACGGCGCGGTGCGGGAGCCGGGGGTGTCTGGCTTTGTGCTCGCACACGGCTGGGCTCCCCACAGTGGCGCATGCGGGGCTGCATGGCTTCACAGAGGCTGGTGCGCCGCCTGCACCAGAGGCCCTCTGCTCCAGGGCGCGCCCTGCTGGATTCGGGCAGGATGGCAGCAGCTCCCCACTGTCCCCTGTGGGCCCAGCGGCTAGCCGGACTCCAGCCTGGCAGGCAGCTTCTGCCCCAGGTCTGCACGCCTGGAGAGAAGGTGCCGAGGACTTGATCATGTGCCGCTGAGAAAGAAGATTCGTTCAGAAAGACGCTGGGCAGATGTGCAGGTCCTGTGCTTCCAGAGGGGAGGCGAGGCCGCGGCCTGTGCCAGGGCCTGCTGGATGCCGGGGGTCTGTGGCCAGGCCCAGCGGCCGAGTGGGACCAGCCCACATTCCACTGACTGCGTGTGCTCCCCACTGCTTGTAAGGAGCCTATTTATTTTGTATTTATTTGAACAGAGTTATGTCCTAACTATTTTTATAGATTTGTTTAATTAATAGCCTGTCATTTTCAAGTTCATTTTTTATTCATATTTATGTTCCTGGTTGGTTGTACCTTCCCAGGGCTGGCAAGGTGGGTTGGGGAGAGGAGAGGGGTGTGGGGGGGTCCTCCCACTGCAACCCACTCTGATGTCAGGTCACATCTGTCCAAAGAAACTCCTCTGGAACTGGTGACGAGAAAGGCAAGGAGGGGGTAGGGCTGGTGCTGGAGAGCAGCATCCTTCGGCACGTGGGGGCAGAGATCACCCCCAAGAAGCCGTGAGGTCTGAGGGTTTGGCTGGGGGTGGGTGGGTGGGAGAAACCCCAACAGCGAGAAGGTGAACGTCCCAATTATTTCTTGACTGGGAGGATTTCTTGATTTCCCCCTTTTTGACTGACAGGCCAGGGGTGCCTATCACTGTGTTTACACGTGGGGCGAGGACAGGGCGGCCAGCTCCCCATGCCTGTGAAGTGGGCTCCCTCCCCCCAGCTGCCCCTGCTCCCTAATGCTGGTCAGCGCCACGGCCATTGCTGCACGCGCCAGAACAGCCCGATGAGGAAAAGCTGAATAGGACGCAAAGATCAATGCAAAAATTATCTTTATATATATAAATAGAGTATACCTGGAATTTGTGAAAATCCAAATTAAGACTTAGAAGTTGTCACTTAAAACCGCCTTCTAATAAAGTTGTTTCAAAGCGAAGACGATGGGTTTCTGTTCTTGCTCACCCAGCCTGTTGTTTGTGCCTGGAAAAACAGGCCACCTGCCTCAGGTACCTGTCCACTGGGGGGAAGGCCAGAAGCCATTTCTTGACCCAGGTCTTGGCCAATTGGTCCCCTCACTTCCGTCCTGCTGCCCCCAGTCCAGAGGCCACAGAGAACCCAGGTGCCCTCCTCTAGTGGGCAGCCTGGGGCCTTGCCAAACAGGCCTTTGTCTTCACCCGCCCCCTTTCCATCTCTACACCACTGTCACCCACTTGGATGGCAGCCAGTTGCCCCACTGGCAGCCTCCCTGGCACACTGGCCTTTGCCCGTCACTCACTGAGTGACCTCCACGAGGGTGGGGGTGGGGCGGGACTTTCTTTACATGCTTCCCTGGAGAGCAGGTCTCCTTGAGGTACTCAGGAGGTACTAGCCGGGGAAATCCAGCTGAATGTTCCAGAGTGTGGCCGGCAGAATCAGAGCCAAGCCCCCTTAATTTCCAAAACCTGTGGCCAAGGTGGCTCAGGTGGGCCAGGAGGGCCAGAGAGATGCCCCAGGGCACTGGTGGCACCCCAGAAGCAGGAGGCAGCCTAGAGCGATCCTGAGAACAACTTGGTTTCAGCCCAGAGGTGCACCCTGACTGCTTTGCATTGACGTCATGCTGACTCAGAACAGCTGGGTTTCGGGTGCTCACTGGAGGTGGGCATCAATGTGTGGCGTTCGCCGCCACGCAGCAGCGTCCATTTCATGCTCCACGGGCCCGGCCGCAGGTGGGGGCCAGCGGGCTTCTCTCTGCAGAGCAGCCTGCCAGCCACAGCGGGCCCTGGCCTTGCTCAGACCCAGCTAGGTGGGCCTGGCCGGAGGCCCTAGTGGCCCTTAGCTGGGGCTGGCTGACCCCGTCTTCCCCGCAGCCCAGGCACTGGAGCCCGCAACCCCAGCCCCTCAGGCCTCTGGGAACCCTGTCCAGCGCCTACTCAGGTGCAGGCAGAGCAGCCTGGGTGCAGGCTGCCTGGCTCTCCAGAGACGAAATGCCGGTTTCCAGGCCCACTCCCTGAGACCCTGGGCAGCACACACCACCTCTCTGGGCCCTTTGGCGTGTCCACTGGACAAAAGGGGCCTGCCTGGGGGACTGCGGGAAGCTGAGACAGGAAGTGGACATGGCTGGGCCTGTGAGCAGTGGTCGCCCAGCTGTCTGGCCCGCCCAGCATTCCAAACAGCCCTTTCCCCTCGCCTCCCTGCGGCCCCAGGCTCTCTGGCACCAGAGGAAGGGGGAGGCCAGCAGGGGAGCTGCTGGTGCGCTCTGACCAGCTCAAGGCTCTGGGAGGGGGCCACTGCCCAGGGCTTCCCCAAGAGTACACGGTGGGTCCAGCAGGCCTGGGGTGGAGGCAGGGTGCCCACCCGGGGCCTTCCCCAAGGAGCAGGCGCCCCTGGGTCCTGCAGCTGCCCAAACTGTGGGCAAGCTCATGCTCAGTTTCCCAACATGGGCACACACCTCCTCACTGCTCAGAGGACGAAGGGGAAAGGGACGCGTCCAGGCTCACACAACCGAAGCAAACCTCAGCTCAAACTGGCTTTGCTGACTCCAAGGCCACGGCCTCAGCTTGGGCCACCGCACCGCTCTGAGCCAGTGGAAGGTGGGAGGCCCAGGCGATGACCTTGGTCCCGGCCCGAGAGGCTGAGGCAAGGTCGGGGCTGACCTGCAAGGCCTGGTCATGGCGCTGGGGAGGTCGGCCGGGGTTGGGCGGGGAGGACCAGCAAGAGGGCAGTGAGGAGGGCCACGAGGAAGCAGGCCAGCAGGAGCCCCGTGAGGGAACGGCGGCCTGGAGGGTC